CAGTCTCAACTGAAAGTGGCATTGCCACAGGGAGAGGTCTAGAGTGGAAGAGGGGAAGGACCCTTCCTCACTCTTAGCTGAGAGCTGTAACTGCAGCAGCAAATGCTGACTGGGAATTTAAGGCAGTCAACCTTGCACAAAGAGGTGTGTGCTGTAAGTGACTAGTCCACTCTAGCATCCTCTGGCATTGGAATGAGTTCTCTCCTTGCTCAAAGCGGGTTCCTGGGTGGTTTTGATTTCTTTTTCTACCAGTGCAGCTGTGCAAGCTCTGTTTCTCTTGCTGGATTTGGAAAGAGCTGTTTTGTTACTCTGAAAAACCAAACCCTAAACCTAGTCCTTTCCTTCTCTGATGAAATGTTCACTTGTTTGTTAGTGTAGGAGACTAATTATTTTCATTTGCCTGATGTGCTTGTCGTTAATCCCCAGAAATGTGTTCTAGTCAAGTGTAAAATTGTATATCAATATAATTTTAATACTCCTCTGAAAATTGATTCTAAAATGATTCGTTGGGATTCCCCATCTCTTTCCTCATTGATTTTCAGGTCCCATGTGTTTAGCTTAGCAGGACTGCATTCTTCCTTTTTTTCCCCTAGCAGTAATAAGTTTTCTGCAGAGCAGGTGTGGCCACTAACTCCTTTCCATTACTGGGATATAGTCCACTGCTTTCCATGTCTCCACACAGATATAGTGAATTAAAGCATAGTACCAAGAAGAATGCCCCAAAAGGAGTAAAATCCATTACATGGTCTTCCCAAATTACACCGGAGGTTGCAGGGATGCAGTGAATTCTGGTAAGAGTTTATGCATCTGCAGATGTAGACTCTGATGAAGATGTGCAACATGGAAATATTATAAAAAACATAGCAAGAGTTGCAATTCTGTGATACAGCCTACACCGAAAACCATCTGCAAAACTAAAGAATTTATACTGCAAGGAAATTTCTGGTGCTCACAAGAAACAGACATGCTGGAAAGGCTGTTTGGAATCTGTCAGGGATTACTGCAAATTATGAAACACTTGAACACATGCATGAGTTTGATGATGGAAGCTGCCAAATATCAACTGTAGGACAGCATTTGTCCCCAGAAACACATTATGCCATTTCCACATGTTTGCTGGGCAGTGTGATGCTAAGGGTGGTTTTGCTCACTGCTAAATCTGCTACAGCCCCATTACCCTGGCAAGGCTCTTCCACCTCTGGGCAGCAGCAGCAGCTGAGAGAAATGATAACACAGATTTCTGCGAGGTGCCTGGGCCCTGCAGGCGGGCAGGGATGTGTCTCAGCATCATGGGACTGCGGCTGTTCCCAAGGAACAGGACATCTCCATCTCTGCCAGCACTGGGAGAAGGCAGTGAGCAGGGGCTCTGGGAAGTATTTCCCTGCCCCTCTGTATAGAAGGAGGCAGATTTGTCTCAAATATGATGACATGTGCTTGGAAAGACAAGATTGAGTCAGGTGGTGCTTTGGGAGAGTTCTGGCTTGCTGTCCATCTAGTAGACATTCTGCTAAATGTGTGTCTTGACATGTAAAAGTGTAAACAATTGGATCAGCATATTTCAATAAATGTGCATGCATAATCATGGAAAAGGGATCCTACACAAATTGGCATTGTATTTTTGCTCAGTCTAGAATGTCTTCATTTTGAAGTTACATCTTAAATTTCCTGGATGCTTGCAGCACCAAATTAAGTGTTTTTCCAAGCATTTTTTTTGGTTTCCCTGCTTTCTTACTCACAGTTTTCCTCACAAAATGCTCTCCTGCACTCCCTTCGCCTACCTGGCTCATTCATTTGCATATCAAAGAGAATATTTAATTAGTTCCTTATTGGTTCTGTTCCTATCTTTCTGTCCTCTCAGCAAAGGCTTAATCTTCCTTCACTCATGGTTTTGTCAAAGATCATCCTGTAAACTAGGTATAAATAGTTGGGGTTTTCTTCAATCATAGTGAAATAAGATATTTTGCAGGTTTCCTTCCCATTATAGAAAAAACGGCAATGACTCATTGTTAATATGCAGACTGAATTTAAAAAATCCTTTTAAAGAAGACTCTTTGGTTTCAGGTAGGAGTCTTGCTGGCACACCTACCATTTGTCTTATGTAAACTACCACAGGGAGGATGCAAAAAATAAATATGCAAATGATTCCCCAGCATTACTATATTACCTAAATTACAGGCTAATCTTTCAATACTGCCTAGTACCCCAGTTTTAGTTCTAAAGCAGAGTAGCCTTAGAAATAAATGTTCATCTTTAGAAAGGGACGTATTTATTGCCATCACAGAATATTAGGTTTTCTATTTGCTAGACTATTATTAATTAAGAGTAAGTTTTCTATTCTCAGTAAGTCTGAATTCTAGACTCCTAGAAAACTGGAAAGTTAACTCTATATGACATAATCTGTAATTGGCTTGCCAGTGCATGTTATTCATGTGTAGCATTAGCAGATTGGTCCAATGCATTGCACAATATTTCTACAGTTGTTTTTTATCACTCTCCAGAAATATGTGCCCAGGCTTCATTACATTTATTTATTTTAAAGTATAAATTACAAGGCTTCATCTACAAGGTCTGTGTGTTTCTTCTGCAATGTGCTTAATGTAAATAATGAGAGCAGCAAGCTATCCTTAGCAGCATATATTGTCTAAGCCAGTGTGGACTCATCTTGAGGTCAAGAGGGCAGTCTTGAGTGTCTCTTTGATTTTTCCTTTGTTTCCAGTGGTCAGGTAATTAGCATTGGGTGGGCATTTACAGGAAGCTCCTTTTTTCTGTGCTTTTGGTGACTGGTGGAAAATACAAAGCCATAGACAGCCTTTATGGGTTTGGTTAGGTTTTTTTTTGCATTCCCTGATTTATGTGTTTCAAAAAAATAGAACAGTTACCACACTGTAAAAAGATAAATTGTTTTGATTAAGGGAGAAATGTAAATTGAATTGTAACTTCATTACTTCATATTTCTCTCATCTTAGTCTGAGATGTGTTGGAAAATCAGAGTATTCTAAATACTGTTTAGGCCTTAGAACCTGCCTCATGCATTTCTGAGGTCAAGTGCACAAGGTTATTCTCTACCTGGTGGACTCAGTGCATGGGTCATGGTGGATGCTACAGACAGGTACATCTGGCTGACACTAAATACTTCATCTGAATTAAAAAGGAGGAGGAAGCAAAGCCAGTGTATTTGGGGGAATGAGAAACTAAACAAGAGCATCACATGTCATCTAACAGAAGAGGATAATTCAGCCTGAAATGGCTAAGGAGTAATCTAGCCTTCAAGCATAATGTAGCATTTTATTGTGTTTTGTTGTGTTGGGGTTTTAAAACATCTTTCCCATACTTCAGGCTAAAAGCTTAATATAATGTGTTAGTGAGTAAGATTTGTTTTGTTTTCCCCTTATGGTGATAAGTTCCAGTAACACTCTCCCTAATGGTGTAAACAGATGACCAAAACAGGAGAAGGGATGGCTGGAGGCACAAAAAAAGCAAAGGTGTTAAAGCAGTGCATATGGCATGAGAGCTAAAAGTTTGTCAAAATACCCAAAGAGCCCAAACCAAACAAGATTCTAGAAATAATCACAAGCAATTATGCAGCAATGAAATAAAAAGAAATAGAAGAGCTTCTTGAGAGGGAATACTTGCTGTTACTGCTGCCACATGAACAGACTCAGTTCTCTGTGAATGCAATGAGTGTAAAGGTAATTGCAGCTTATTGGGAATATCCCAGTGTGTGTAGACTGCTTTCCATAGTGCCATGCTTGTTGCCTCTGTTTCTGGTGGAGTGCTATCTCTGCATTGTTTCTTACTTCTAATCACTTGATCTTCTAATGAGCATAAAGTAATGCTTTTCCTACATATGTTAGCCACACCTTTCCTGTCAGTTTTGTGAAGCTGTGTGGAGCTGCATTGATGAGCACTCGTGAATCTGGTATTTCAGTAAAAGGAAGTGATAGAAAGTTCCTCCAAAGCAGGAGCAGTGATTAGAAAGGATATCCTTCCTGCCACCAGCAGATATTAAAGGTTCCTTGCTGTACTGCTTCATGGGAATTTTAGGATATCGTTTCATAAAACTGGCTTGTCTGCTTGCAAAACATTGTTTTATTAAATGTGTAGTAGGCACCACAGGTTCTGTTTCTAGAGAACATCTATGTTTTCTTGGGCTTTGAAAAATCAATACAGTGAAAATATCAAGACTTCAGATCAAAAATCTGACTTTTAAGGTTACTCTCTGAGGGAGAATTATTGCAGTTCACAAATACTATGCTCAGTTAAAAATATTAGTGAAATGACTGTTGAGTGTCTACTTAAATAGAGTATTAGGATATCTAAATGATAGATCCTTCTTTTATTAACTGCTTGTAAATCATTGTGCAAATCTGTGTCTACTGCTGACTGTAAGAAAAAGTAGCTTTTCTGAAAGAAAAAAAAGTAGCTTTAATTGTAAAAAAATCAGTGGTTCTTCGCATATAGCATCTCCAGTTTTCTACTGATGGGGGAAAAAAGACAGTTGTTCAGCCCATCACACTTGAGGGATAATTTGAAACCAGTAAACTTTTACAACAACATTTTCTCTTGAATAATTCGGATCTGTGTGTGCAAAGCACAGTGCTTTTGTTCTATAAGTTACTATCTACCTAACTAGCTAACTAACTGGGGAGGAGACGTTTAAGTTAAATATAGAAGTGAAAAATCATTTCCTAAATGTTGAATAGTTTTGTCTTTCAGAAATTCAGATTCCTTGATTGTCAGAAAGTTTCAAAAACTTTGAACTGAATATGTAGATATATTATGAGCATCTTCTCCAATTGACATTTTACCACCTGTCTTTCATTTAACTGGAAATCAAAAGTAAAATAAATTGCAAAAGGGCTGTTTTCTAGTCTCTTGGGGACACTGCACTGTCCTGGTCATATTTAAATTTGATTGCTTGCTATCTCAGTTTTGAAAAGAAGCATCTTCCTTCACTGTTTATTCACCTTAATGCTAAATTGTGTTGCTTTTTTCTGTAGGATTGTGGAAAAGGGGTACTACAGTGAACGAGATGCTGCAGATGCTGTCAGACAAATCCTGGAGGCAGTTTCTGTGAGTATTATCTGGCATCTCATGCTCAGCACCTGATCTTTCATCCACGGTGGCTCAATAAACACTTGTGTGTGAAAGAGGCAGTGTGCACAAGTTACCTCCTACAATTAATTCCATGGAATTAATTATTAAGGTGATCAGTGACACTTTGAAGAATTGTTCTTCAATCAGAATGACAGTAGTGTTGAGAGAGAGCAGAATAATAATTGTTGCCAGAAACTTGTGCAGTTTCTAATATACCTTCTTCCTCTATATGTTTTGTGCTTTTCAAACATTGGCATTTTTTATACAATTTTGCATTCTATCACTTAGAGAAAGGTGTACAGATTCTTGAGGAAGGCTTCTAGTGCCTACATACATTATTTCAGTACATTTTCTGTGCTGCTTAGTCACTTGTAGCTCTTCCATCTGATTTCATACCAGACGTTCTCTGAACAAGCAATCAGATGCTAGGGAAATACTTACGAAATTAATTTATCCAATGTCCAGTGTACTGGACATTGTAGTTCTGTTCCCTTCCAGTACAGAAGAGAGGGGACATGTTGGACAAGGGAAAAGAGAGATCAACCTGCAGGGCTCATTTGAAGGATGTTAGTGGTGAGGCCAGTTCTATGCAGGCTATCCATGGAAATTCAGTGTCACAGGAGCTGTCCTCAGAAATGGACTGGTGGAGACGATGGGGCTCTGTGGAAGGTATCTAGAGATGAGGAGATTACTGGTTACAGCAGTAATTCTGTTCACCAGAAGGACCAGGCCAATCTGGGTATGTTTACCTGTGATGATAGCAAAATACCTCAGTGTGAAACACCCCTATTGGTACTATTGGTGAGTCTGCTCATACTAAATGTGAGAATTGGTATTTACAACACTAACTGCACATACTGCAAGACCATGCATGCTCACTTCATGGTCCTTTCTGAATGATTTGATGTTTATGATGTCTCATAAACATGAAACTCTCATCCAAAGAAATTTAAATTATGTATTTTACAGCACATCATAATGCATTTGTATAAACTTTTAAACTTGGCTCAGATTGTTATTTTATTACTAATTTTTTCTTTCAGCTGAAGTGCCCCAGTTAAGGTGGCTCTACACTATTTAACATTCTTTTACAAAAAAATTATGATTAAGTTTTGTTGAAACATGTTTCAGAAGGTGTTTAAGCTCTTTATTTTAAAGCCAGAAATAAGAGAAAAATCTTCAGCTTCTATAAGTTGTAATAGCTTGGCTGAAATCAATGAAACAGTGACATATGAAAACTGAAGAATTGATTTTTATGTAAACAATAATTAGGATTTCTATGGTTCCTTGTACTAGATCCCTAACTAGGATGAACTGTATTGACTTCTACTCTTACAGCTCACACCGAACTTCTAAGCCAAAGCTGGAAAAGCTGTGGAAGTGGCAGTTCCCAGGTTGGGATCTTTGCAGCCCTGCTGAAGTACTCTGATAGATTGGGGCTATAAACTTGACAGAATGGTGCTTGTGAGCAGGACAGGAGTTATTGTTAGAAACTGGAAAATGATGCTGCAGCAGAATAATCTTTTCAAAATAAAAGGAAATGTATCCATAGAGCATTCTTAAAACCAAATATTTGTACAATTTGTACAATAGGCAATGCCAGAGAATACCCTTCTGGCACCACAAAGGTTTTTTTGTCCTATGTGATTTTTATAAATTGCTTTTTGAAAAAGCAGCATCCAGCCTTCCTGTTGCTGACCTCTCTTGAACTAAATATTTTATAAAGCCCCTGTTCAGGGCTGTTGCTATAGTCATGGACCTGTCCTTGCAGTGGATCATTAACATGAGGAGTATTATATCTTCATGTAGCAAAGGTTTTTATGAGACACTTTTAAAGAATTTAATGAGAAGTGTAGAGTGGAATTTTAAAAGCACATAAGCATTTTTTATTCAATTCCTTTTGAAATTGTTAAAGCAAATGGACTAAATAACAGACTAATCGATAAAGCTTCTAGGTCTGTCTGGTTTTTGTGATAACCTGAATACCTTTAAGCCCAGCTCTAACTGGCTTACCAAGAATTAATCAAGCAACCAGAGTAGCACACAGAAGATTAATCTGAATCTTCATGTCGCAAACCATCATGAATGCATCTGACATCAGTTACCACAAGATCAGAAAAAATTAAAAAACAGTACTGTTTTGTAGACCTCCGCATTCATTTCGCCTTTTTTTCATTATTTTCCTGTCTGCTGTTTACATCTGATCTGAAGTTCCCAGCTGTTGACTGTATTTGCCCTCAGTGGGAAAACATTACATTTTTTCCTCTCTTCTGCATTTTTTCCTGTTCCATTATCCTTTCATTGTTCTTCAAACTGGGAGAAAGCTTCATTCATAAGATAAAAGGCTTGTACAAAACTAGGTCAAACCAATGTTCATCCCTTTAGCTCTTCTGCTGTGCTGTTCAAAGCACGTAGAGAGGTTTTGTTGCTATCTGACAGCACAGGGAGATGAGAGGGAGTCTCATCATTCCATGAATGAGTTTCATGCCTAAAGATGAGGCATTTGAGGGCAGTCTTTCTTGGCACACTGTTGCCATTTCTCTCCTCTCACAGAATGAGTTGCATGCAGTGTGATCTTCTTGCATACTTACTCTAGTAGCAGTTTTTCTTATAATTTTTTTTGCATAATGAATTAATTTCTGCATGCAGATGTCCTGAGGCCAGATCTTCTGGGTATCTTGCAGAATGAGTTATTGATGTTTTGGAATCCAAGTAGTCCTCAAAAGATTTGTCACAAAACAAATATTGCGTACTTCTTTAAGAGAAAAAAACACATCTATTTTTCAGCTGGTCAAACTTTATAAAATTACACTTTTATTTTTGATGTGTATTTTAAGTGTATTTGTCACCAAAAATAAATGCTGTTCTCTCTTAACTATTCTGCATTAGTGTCAAAGGGATAACTTTCTGCTTGGGGGTTAAAGTACTCTTTTCAATATATTTAAATTTGAAAAATTGTAACAGTTTAGTTTTTGTATTTAGGGTAGTTACTAGCCTGCATACTATATGTAGTTTTGAACTCATCCATCAGTCTCTAAATTAAATTCCCATAAATTTTTACAATAATTTCTTTTCTTAGATTGCCCATCATCTTGTCTAGATAGGAACATTTTCCTGAAGTTTTATATGGGACTCCCTCTGTTTCTATTTTTCAATTTAGATTTTCTACTGTTTCAAGCTTCATTATAGATCTGCACTTCTACTCAGTTCCTTGTCATCTTAAATTCACAGGGAGCATTCTGAACTGTCAGGTACAGTGGCAAAGCCTGAGGGCGCTTGAGCAACCTGCAGGTTTGAGAAAGAAAATCTAGATTAAAGGTTTCTATTAATTTTAGAGAATTTTGATCTATGCAATAATGAACTGTATGTTAGTAGGTAAGAACCTACTTACGAATATGCAGCTTGCAAGCACATTTGCAAACTCTGAGTCATTGGTGTGTCTGGCAATTCGAGCTTAGGCTAAATGAGCTGTTCAGACTTCTAAAGACAAGACAAGATTCAAGAGAATTGATTTAGATATTTGGGGGTTTTGGCATTCAAAGAAAAGTGTACAAGAGATAAAGATTATGCAGAGGTTTCCTTTTTTCCTATACAGTCATTGAGTTAGTTCTTGCTGGCGATAGAGACAAACAATGTATTTTAGTTTTAGCCACCAGCTACAAGGTTTCTGAAATTTTGAACAAGGTGAATTATCAATATATACTTAACAAAGCCTAAAAAGGCAGACCATAAAAACGGATATGAATTGGGAAGAAACCCGGAGGTCAGTTCTGTAGAAAATGAAGTCAAAATTCACAGAAGAGAATGGCAGGGATGCCTAGGTATTGCAACAGAGGATAAAGACGTGTCTACAATAGTAGCAAAATTTAGGAATACTCTATGTAGGGAGAAAAAAAACTATGTTTGATTGAAGATATTGCAGAACATGGACTTCCTCTCTTTAGAAGATTTTGCAAAGGATTTTCGTTTCAATAGAAGAGGCATTTGTACCTTCAGATTTCTCCCCATTCACTGATGAGTCCTGAGTGTTTTCCATCCTCCCTCAGTAGAGAGTGGCTTTCTGAGTCTGTTCCTGACATAAGTGGTTTTTATCCATGAAGAGGAAGTTGAGAAACAGCCACTGTGCTGACTACCCACCAACCCCTGCTTTTCAGATGGGGAAAGAAGGGTAAATGGAAAATTCTTCTGTCAAGTTTTCTGTATGTTTGCTTGAAAGTGGAATTTCATAAGCTTGCAGGTTTAGGCCAGACTCAGTGTGTCTTTAACTACACGGTTGTTGCTAAGGACCAGTGCTTGATACTATAAGACAAGGAATTTGCTAAGGATTATGATGCTGTACTGTAGAATGTGATCCACTTTTGCCATTCCTCTTTTTACAGGCTTTTACCCTCTTGACATAGTGTAAACACTGCTTTAATAGTGGCAATATTAGACTGCAGAATAAAGAGGTTCTAGCAATATTTCTAAAAAGTGCTTCTATAATAAAACATGTCTCACATGCGCAATGAACCCTGTATTTCAAGGCAGAGTGTCAGACATAGAGGAGGAATGAAATAAGGGGAAAATCTATTGTTTGCTTACATTGTATCTTATAATACAGTGAAAGCAGGCAAGGACTGATGGTTGGATGGGAATCAGGATGTGTTTTGCAGGTCAATTACATCCTTCATCCCTGAACTGGAAGTATTGCCATAGGCATGGCATACAACTTAATAACTTGTAGCAAGAAATAACAGCATCTGTCTATCCTATGGCATTGTTGTTGAGTTTTTATTAAATAATTTCTATTTGGTCTAGTCTTGGCGTGAAATGTTTCTTTCTTCAAGATTTGTGAGGCTTGAAGTTGAATCCTTTTGGAGAGGGGTATTTTAACACATCATGTACGGAGACGACTCCATGGAAGCTGGGAAATTGTCTTGGCCTTTTCTTCCAATTGGTGACAACACTTTAACAGGGGCTTCATCAGTGCCCTGGGA